TCTCGAGCACTAAACATGGAGGAGAAAAACCTGAATATGATCCAAAACGGACAAATGAAAAAACGATATCCCCTTGATGACAATCCCATCCAGCATAGATATTCGATAACCAACGGATCGTCATGAAAAAAAACAAAGAAATTAGGCGTCAGAAAAATAACAAACAATGAAATCATGTAGAATTACAGATTTAGAAAAAGATCAATAAAAAAATCTGCATCGAAAGTCTATAAATATCAGTAGCTATGATTCTCTTTATCTAGAAAAAGATTAAGAAAAAGATTACTAAAATATATTAAACTATAATTAAAAACTAGTAAAATTATATAAGAATTAAAAACTAGTTTGAGTGCCGATTCCTTTACAAAGATACAAAAAAAAAACATGACAGGTTTCTCGTGTTTCATGTCATAAAATCAACTAAAATATAAATTTTAAATTCTCCATAATTATTCATGGAATCTTTATAGTCCGAGTGACATTCCTTAGTAAAAAGCATAGGTGAAGAACAAAAGAAGATCATCGACGGCATGGCCACCGACTTCAAATCCATCCCAATTATCGGTAAATTTATATTATCCCATGATTTCCCTTTCCTCGAAACTTATCTTTTTAATCTATTTGATTGATCGATAAAAGCTTTACTTTCAGAAATCTTTTGGCTTTCTCGATGTTATGATTCAAATTCAAGTTCTAAGGTTGATTGAAATTTCTGAATCATCAATTTGAATGTTGGGTCTGGGTTTCAAAAAGGGTTTGATTAATTTAAGCCAAAAGCACAAGGAAAATGGGCAACGAAACAGTTGAATTTGTTCGTGGAATTAAAATATATCGATGAAGTTTGTGCTTTTAAAAATTTGGATCTTCATAAACTGTGATTATCTGTTAGATTTTTATTGCTTTTTTATAAATTGTTATGTAGATATTGCTCCTTTGTTGGCCAAATGCGATGATCCAAAAATGGCTCAAGACCCTGGTGTATGTGAAGTTGTTAAGCAATTAGATAAGGCTTGCCGTGAGGCTGGGTTCTTCTATGCGGTAAAATTCTCACTTTGGTTTTTTTCATTTTCTTTGTTCTTCCAAAGGGAGTTTTACATATATGATGCTAAACTTGGTTGAAACATGTTCGATTTTTTTCAAAGTTTTTCGAAATATATGGAACCCTTGGAGGGTCATATCTCTACACTCATATCCGTATATGGATGTTAAACTCGGCTTCTTAAAGAAAGAAAAAAGTCGAAGCAAAATAGGTTTACATTGGTATTTCACTAATAGTTAAAGGATTTAGGGGTTTTTTTTTTGAATTGAAAAGAGCTAGATAAAAGCTAGAAACTAAGAAGGATTTAGGTTTTTTAATTGAAGTTTCTGGTATCTTACTGAAGTTTTCTATATATCTCAATGGTAGCCCAACTTATCACTGTATTTTTTCCCCTTCGATTTGTACACCTTCGGATTCATCAGAAGGGACATGGAATCCCTGAGACTATGGTGAAAGAGGTTAGAAATGTAACACGCAAATTCTTTGATCTTCCGTACGAAGAAAAACTCAAGATCAAGTTGACACCTGCAGCTGGATACAGGTCTGTTTGGTGAAGTGAAATCTGTGTATAAATGTTGTTTAAGATTATTGATTAGTGTATATGAATCTCGTTGACCTTGTAAGGTGACACTCGAATGCAGGGGATACCAGAGAATTGGAGAAAACATTACCAAAGGCGTGCCTGATATGCATGAAGCTATTGATGTGGGTGTTACTTGTAGATACTTTTCGTTCCTCCATTTCATTTACATTGCATTGCATTGCTATTGCAAGGTGCCAGTGGGAATTTTTATGTTCTGTTTAACCTAAAATGTTTTGATTGGAATATACCTTCAATAAGTTCTCCACTGGTACCATGTTGCCAGTACCAATCGATCATTACTGAAAGGATTCTATCCGCTACTTTATATAAAAGAGAGAGTAATGGACTTTCAACTTATTTTAAAGTTTACATTTGTTCAAATCATCTTTTTTTTTGATTAATTATTATTCACCATTTTCTAAAGGGATATTTATCATCGTATTCAATTTAAAATATCTGAAGTTTCAATCAAAGATTTAGTTAACAACACATTATTCACTCTTAGATAGTGTCGCGGATACTTCGAACACTTGGAGAGGATCTTTGCATGAACTATCTTAGTGCAGTCCCAAAAAAGTGGTTTTACTTTTTATGATGTTATATAATGCTTTTAACTATCTCAATTATATAGTCATTTTCCTTTCTATTCGGGATTAACTTTGACAGATGCATTATAGGGAAGTATTCTCATAAGTAGCACGTTATGTCTGCTTCGGTATATAAGACACTGATTTGTGTGGTGCTTTGGATTACAGTGCTATAAAGAATTAAAACAAGGGATATATGGAGATCTTGGCAAACCCATGGAAGGATGCAATCAATGGTACGTTTAAAGACTTGGTCGTTTCTCAACCATATACATATTACAAAATTTTTGTGCAATGCAGCCGTAAATATTATCAAATGACATTGAGATTGATGAACTTTGGAAGGACCTTCAAAGGGCCTTAGCACAATGTTAAAGATTTTTTTTTCATACAAGGACTTGGAATTTGCTATGTGTTTTGCCGTTAATGATTGGCAATGCTTGATAATTAATTGATTGGATTAAGTCATTGCAAAATGGTTTATACATCCTACAATGATTATAGATTTTCCATGCATGGGAACATATGTACCAACATTTTTGCATATAGTGGCTGATCTGAAGGTTTGGAGGTTGAGTTTCGGAATTGATATTCTATCGTTTTGACAGGCCACATAATCCTCCAAGCTTCAAAGAACTGATGGAGGAGTATATCCGTCACTGTACAGGCATGCTCGTGTTTTACAAATTTGTGTTCTCCTTTAATAATTTTACTTGGCTGGAAATTCATGGCAGCTTTTGGATTCTTGGTAATGACAGAACTGTCAAGAAAAATTATGCGGGGAATTGCTCTTGCATTGGGTGGATCACCAGATGAATTCGAAGGGGAAAGAGGTAGTGATGCATTTTGGGTGATGCGTCTTATTGGTTATCCGGGAGCATCAACTGCAAACGGAAAATGTAAACCTGAAACTGACATTGGATGGTAATAGAATGTGAATGCAGCTGATTTTTCCTTTTGCTTAATTACTTCCATTTTGGTATGTCCTTGTTCTCATTTGCTTCTGTCTCTGTCTTTGGGGCCAAACAATTCAGCGGTGCACACACGGACTATGGTGAAGTACCCTTTTAACTTGAGATAAGCGGTTTAAAAGATTTAATTTTAAAACAGCATCCTAAGTTGTACAATATTTCAACAGGTTTGTTAACATTGGTGAATCAAGATGAAAATATCACTGCACTTCAGGTATGATCCTCATAGTTCCTGGTTTTAAGAAATCGACAAAACTGATCAGTTCTCGCGGATTGTTTTATTGGAAGAGAAGTGTAAACCAACATCACGTTTAGCCGCTTCTCTCTTCTATTTTAGCTCTGGGCATTTCTTCGTTTATGATTCTGAAAATTATCACAGATATAGTTGGCAAGTTTATCTTGTATGACCAAAGCATTGCTAACTTTATTTTTCTCCATGTTCTCTTTGTTAACCAAATGTGAAACCCTTTTCTTGTCTTGGGGATAATCCTTTCTTTCTGGAGGCCTAATAGTTTATGCTGGTGTTATATTGCTGTTTTAAATCCCGTTACTTTATTTCAACAACAGTTTTTCTAAACAAATTATGCAGGTGAGAAACCAATCCGGTGAGTGGATCTCAGCTCCTCCGATTCCCGGAACATTTGTCTGCACATTGGTGATATGTTGAAGGTACATTAACGCAATGCTAAAAGCGGTTTCAAATGTCTGTATTTCCATTTTGGATTATATCCTACTAAAATGTTTGGTGTAACTGCAGATACTATCTAATGGTTTATACGACTCAACTCTACACCGAGTTATCAATACATCTCCTACATACCGCGTCTGTGTAGCATATTTTTACGAGGTTAATATTTACAAGTTGCCTTCTATCTTCTGTCGTGTTTGTCCTTCCTGAATATTCTCTTTTTTTTCTGTGCTTTTCCGAACAGCCGAATTATGAGGCAGCGATGGAGCCTTTGGAAGTATGCATACAGAGGAGTGGTGGAACTCGGAAGTTCGGAAAAGCTGTTTACGGAGAACATTTAGTTAGCAAAGTAAAAACAAACTTTGTAATGTAATAGTTTTGATTTGGAATTTTCAGGCCAAACATTTCATCCTCTGATAGTACTTTTGACTTCATAATGTCTGAAATAGCAGTGATGAAGCTTGAGATGAAGACTGATTGTTCAAATTTCGTTTCTGATTTGATTTGCAGGACTGAAACAGATTTAGCTATTTTTTAACTGATATTCAACACGCATTTCTTAATCGTTGACAACGCACAAACATCATATAGATGCAACTGTTCGAACTCATAACCTCTAGGAAAAACAAAATTCCCTTTTATCTATTGAATCCACATAATGGGTTTGATTAGTCGTCGAGCAGAACAGAACGAGTGTATCGGACTAGTGCACCAAAATTATGCATTTAAATGCATGTAAATGTAATATACGGTCCTCAAAAGTTGAATTATTTGCTCATTTAGGCTTCAAATCTATAACTTATTAGATACAAACTGATTTGAGTATATTTGAATCGAGTTCCAAAGTGAAGTCTTGGTTGGCAAATTTCTTTCAAAGTTTGGTTTAATGCAACAAAGCTAAACACAAAATTGGCAAAGGCTGCTTAAACTTTGAAGCCATGAAGATTCCAAAACAAATGAATTTCCTTCCTGAAATTCGCCACTCAAAAATCAATTGCATGGCATGGGGTCACAAACTAGTGATTCAACAAAATCAAGAACATAGCCATTTAACAGAGTTTTAGCAAAGGGGAGATGAATCAATACAACTATAAGCAAGCAATAATTAGAAAACACTTGGGCAATTGTTTCCCCAATGGTTTTCCAAATTCCCAAGAAAAAATTGTAAATCAAGAAGTACAAAAAGCATTTTAAAATAATGATTCATCTCGCAAATTTACAAGTTGCATTATGATCGGAGAAAAGAGTATTGTTCCAACTCTTCAAAAGATCATTCACAAGTTGCTATTGAAAATATCATCACCATTAGACCACCTCCTAAATGTGCATGCCACTATGTTCCTACTAGCAAAAAGCCCAAATTTTGACCTTAACAGTCCTAACCTGCCGTTGCTGCTCGTCGAAGCATCTCCGGTGGTTACCTGTGGGTAATCCGGCCCGGCTTCAGGAATTCCACCATTGGTGACACTAGCCTCGAAACCACCATCTATCTCACAAGCATCCATATTGATCACTAGAGATCCCCCTTTGTTCGCGCAACCATTCACCGGCCTCGCAACTCACTCCTTTACATTTCCTCAACTTAATTTTCACCAAACTGGGACAACCAGAACCCAATGCTTCAATGGCGATGTCCGAAATAGGACACCCCTTGATGCAAAGTTTCTTCAAGGCCATACATTTTGCTGCAATGCATGCAATCTCTGTATTACCAATACTCCCACTTCCGCAAAGAGCTAATCTTTCGAGTTTTGAGCAATTAGAAGCAATGGCTTCCAAGCTCAAATAAGTAGCATTGACACCAATCAAAACGAGTTCTTCTAAATTAGGACAATGTTTGGCAACAGCAGCCAAACCCTCATCTCCAATCCTATTAGTCCTCCACCCATCAACATGAAGCTTCTTTAACAACTTACAGTGTTCAGCTACACAAACAAGCCCATAATTCGAACAATCTGGGGTTTTTCACAATATGCAAACTCTCAATTCTGGTACATTTGGAAATAGCAGATAGGCCTATATCACTTACTTGAAGCCTCTCAAGGTGAATTTCCATCAACTGATCACTGTTACCGTTGCTATCATAGTTACTAGGATCTAAATTTTCCTTTTTGTATCGATTTTGATTCCCAATTAATTGAAGGATTCTGTCCCAATCACCCAAACAATGAATAATTTTCAAAGCTTTAAGGTTTTTAGCTCCAACAACAAGCGGTTCAAAGGACTGACCGTTAACGAGCTCTTTCAAGCAAATCGTTTTCAGTGAAGAAGCCGCCGCTCCCGGCCCGATAGCCTCAGCTCCATCGTTGATCCCTCTGAGCCTTTTCACCGATAACTCTTCTAAATTCGTGCAATAATCAAGGACGGCGTTCAAGCCTCTGGCGCCGAACATACAAGAACTGCAAGAAATCTTCCTCAGATTCTTAGAATTTTGAGCAAAAGCCAACATCCCTTCGTCGCTGATTTCACGACAACCGCGCAGCTTTAACCGTTCAAGGTTTCGGCAACGGATTGAGATCATCACCAAAGCGTCATCGTTTAAGCTGATAGATTTACGGCTACAACGCAGACTGAGTTTCGTTACGGAATCGAAGCGCGTGAAGAGAGAAGACAAAGAAGCGACGATCTCAGATTGGGCGTTGAGAGACAATCGGTGGCGGCTCCAACCGTCAACGCGAAGCCACCGCTTACAGACGAGCGAACAACGGTTCCGATCTCCGGGACCGAGGAATTGAAAAGCATAAGCTAAACAGTCATCGGGAATCTCAGCTGTGTAATCCCGATTCTCCACAAACTCATCGGAAAATCCATCGCTGGAAACAAAACTAGAAGTGGAAAAGCCGAATCGATCGCTGAAGGAGTTCTCCCTATCTAAAGCAGCGGAAGGAGATTGGCCCATTGCAGCGGGTGCAGTATACGCGCCACCGGTACAAACAGCACCTCGGATTAGACTCTTCTCTTTGGACCGTTTTCTCAGAGAAAAGAAGAAGAAAGATTAGGTTTGGGGAAAATGTTGATTCAGATGGGAAATTATAAGGCAGAAAAACAAAAGGGTTGAAACGTAGGGTTCATGAATTTGGCCCCGTCAAAGGGGGGGGATGCTTGTCCTCGTCGCAACCGCTACGGCCGACTAAACCCATTATTTTAATTACATCCCCCAATCATCTTCTTCCTTTGCGCGTGCTATTTTCTTGGGTTAATTATATTATTGGTCGCTATACTCTTCACGCTTTTAAAAATTTAACCCTTCTACTTTTAATTCTTGAAAGTGACTCATTAATTTAAAGTTATATGATTCAATACGATAGTTGTAACAGCTATATTTTTTTTTATAATTTTGGTTTTAATGTTAAAAAAACAAAATATTGGTACTTGTTTGGAATACCATCCTAATGATTAGTATTTCATAAGTGTCTTATACGTGTACATGTATAGTTTCTAGATGAAATAGATGCAATCAACGGTCAAACAATGTGGTTCGAACAACTTAATTGGTGGTCCAATACGCTAGAAAAGTAAAGTTGTTAAGCCTCGATTCGATTAACAGTTAAAAGCTTTTTTTGAAAAATAATTGGTCAAAATACGTAAATAATCCTCTGATTATAGGATATTATTTTATTGAGTCTCTTGATTATTAATAGTTAATCCCCAAGTATAGGGAGTTACTTTGTTGAACCCTCGACTAGTAAAAGTTACAAGATGGTCACTCAACTACTCGTCCTTCTTCTTTAAAAAATTAACAGTCGTTTGATTTGAACGTTAACATGTTGACTGATATATGATAGTCGTTTGAAATTATGAGATCATATTTTATCATATATATAAGTTAGCAAGTTGAATTACAACTTGGATTGCCATCAAAATTTTAATGGAAAATGACGTGTTTGGATCATAATGAATAGCGGAGGCGGTCATTTTGTAACTTTTAATCGTTGAGGAACTCAACAAAGTAACTCTCTATAGTAGGGGGATCATTTTGTAACTTTTAATAACTAAGAGACTCAATAAAGTATTATCTTACAATCGGGAGATCATTTATATACTTTACCCAAAATAATTTTAAAGTGTAAATAAGTTATTTAGCTGGATATGTATTAGATTTTTAGATAAGATTAAGTTAAAATTTTTGAAGTAATGAATAGAGTAAATTGAGGTAAGAAGAATTAGACAATATTTGATCTTAATTAATCATTTAATATATAATATATTGATAAGTAAATAAAAAATATTTTTAATGGATAAAATGATTATATTACACATTATTTTTAAAAATATTGGGTTAGACCACGCCCAATGTCTTTTAGTCATGGATTTGACAAAAAATGAGCCAATTTTTTAAAATAAAAATTATAATCATGTTATTTAATTAATATATTATTATAAATATGTCGTCTCATCATTTGATATTAAACGAAAAACCACATAACATGATATAATAAGTTTAGTCTTTAAAATTTATATTTTTTTATTAATTTGATCTTAATATGAAATAGTTTAATAAATTTAAACTTTAAATATTTAATTTTTTTATCAATTTTGTATTTGATCTTTCAGAAATGCAATATTGCTTTTATGTTATAATAATATTTTAATATAACTTGTGGATGCTTTATTATAAAATGCTGTCATCTAACCACTGTTTTAATCTAATGGACTTCGCTTGGTTTGATTACATCGTAAAAAAGTAAATTATTAGAATTTTTAAATATAAATAGTTAAATTTTATTAAATTATTTCGACTTAAGAAAAATGATAAAATGTATAAATTTTAGGGAACAAAATGTTATTATAATAAGATACATTAGATGTCCGTTTCAATTTTAATGATAGTTGTTTATAATAATATTTTAATTGAATGATTTGTTTGTAACTTTTTTTTTTGTTAAATCTGAAGTAAATATAATATATATTATATATTCAAAAAATTTATACTATTTGATAATAAGTGATCATATACCGCATATGAGGTGTTCGACCTTAAAACCTTAAGAGATAATAACGAATCTCTTAATTATTAAAGTTGGTTGATTCGTGTTTGTTTGGAATTTTTAGATAATAACAATATTAATCTTCGTTAGCTATCAAGATTAAGGTTGTAAATGAGATGAGTCGAGCTTGAGTATTATCGAAGCCAACTCGACTTAAAAACTTTGAAATGAAAGTCAACTTATTAAGAATTCGAATCGAATATTTATCAAATTTTAACTGACTAACTTTATATTGGTATAGTCTCATTTACCGTCCTGATCAGGACAAATGCAAAGGCAAGGGACTATACTGTTCAAACAGTCGTCAAACACGTAAAGTGGGAACTCCTGTGGCCACCTGAGATTCCACGTTTTGAACTTTTGAATTTGACATCGTATGCGTCAAATACATAGAAGAGAGTCAAAGCGTTTACCCTCAAAAATAAATATCAAATCTCTTTTTATTTGAATTATCAAATCTTAAATTATGTAAATATTTGTAAAATAGAAGAAATTATGATATGAACTATTCTCATCGCGTAGGATATAAACCCAACTAATAATATCAAAACATATCAGCAATTTTTTTTATTAATCATAACTAAATGTAATCTTAAACTTTTAATTAATTAATTATTTTTCGTATTAACATTAAATCTCCATCTCTTCTTTAACCTCTTCGTCATTAAAATATTTATTATATACACCCAATATATGATACTAGAGGGTTTGATAGGGCATAAAGCTTGTTCTATGATGGTGAAGAAGACCAAATTGTGCACAAGGAACTTAAACCACAGATTCTTTTAATCCAATCCTCTTGCCTTTTATAACATTTAAAATTCGACCCTACTTGATTCGAATAAGTACACCCTACTTGATTCGAATAAGTACGCATTAAATTTATTTATTGAATTTTATTATTTTTTATTTCAGTTATTATACATTTATTTTTTTAATTTAATGATTCAAATTTATATGTGAGTTTTTTGTCACTCAACCGTTAATTTATTTTTTAATGATGTTATAATATGACAATTTAATTTTTTATCGGTTATTTACCTATTTTATTTGTGTTAATCCCATATAAAAATTTTAGGGTTAACTACTTGAAATATCACTCACGTTTAAGCTCGGACTCATTTATGCCATTAACGTTTCAATTTCGTTAATTTTAACACTGACGTTTATGTTTAATTACAATTATACCACCCCGTCGTTAATCCATTAACGGGACGATGACATGACATCTCCATTCCATGACGACGATGACGTACACCCTCACTAAAATGATGTCATTTTGACACAGCCGTTTTGATGCTCAAAACAACGTCGTTTTTTTATATAAAAAATGATTTCAATGAGATTCAAACCATAGACCTCTAAAAATAAAAGTTAAACACCCAACCACCAAGTTAGCTTAATAACTTGTTAAAAACTTAACAAAACTATTATAAAACTTAAATAATAATTTTGAATTTTGAATTTTTATAAACACAGCTTAATTGTCGTCTCCTTCATTTCTTCTTCAACAAAAACCCTAAAAATGGAAGCTTCCTCCCATCATCATCTTCTCCATTCTTCCTTTCCTTACATCAACAACCACAAAAACTCAAAATTTCCCAGTTTATTTCAACGTCATTGTTAAAAAATGGAAGCTTTGCAGAGAAACTAAAGAACATAGTCAATACCAATGTGAGAAGGTGAGGGTGGCTGGCAAGTTTTAGGGTGGGAAAGAGTTTAGCACAGTCAATACCAATGTGAAAGCTGCACATATACCCAAGTTTAGCAAATCTTTCACCCGCGTAGGTATATTTCAAGCGAAGAGTGTGGCCAGGATGAAAAGGATGAGCAAGTGTCATTGGTATCTTATCATTGCATTCAATATGAAGATAGAACTTGAATCTTTTTTTCGAAACAACCGTAGCACACTCCCGATAGATGTTTTTCACACCAGAAACAATCCAAGAATTCTCCATGTATCTTCCTATATTTGACGAAGCTTAGCTTGTGAACGTGGCTATAATGCTGGATTGTATTTTTCTTCCCATTTTTAAACCTCAGCTGCTCTTCATCTTTAGGAAGCTCACCACTGGTCGAAGAAGCACAAGCAAAATCAAGTTAGAAATCGCAAGAAACACAACTGTATCTATAGCAAACAGATATATACAAACATTTATCACAATGACGTTGGAATGAACTGAGAAAGTTTGAGTTTTTGTCGTTGTGGATGTAAGGGAACAGAAGAATGGAGAAGATGATGGTGGGAGGAAGCTTCCATTTTTAGGGTTTTGTTGAGGAAGAAAGGTAGGAGATGACTATTAATACGTGTTATAAAAATTAAAAATTCAAAATGTTATTTAAGATTTATAATATTTTGTTAAGTTTTTAACAAGTTATTAAACTAGTTTGGTGGTTGGGTGTTTAGTTTTAATTCCCTAAAAGTTTATGTTTCGAATCTCATTGAAATCATTTTTTCCATCAACAAATTGGGGAGAGAAAAGAATCTAACATATTCAAGCTTGAAAGCCGATCGATCATCAATCGAATTTTGGATATCCGGTCGTAGTTCCCTTTACCTTTCGATCCCATAGATGGGACATAGGTGGGTAGAAAAAATATGCTCTCATTCTTCTGTAGAAACCTGCATTCCATATAAGAAACGCTCTGAATCAATTCTATATATATAAACTGAAACAAAATGGGTGTTCTAAACAACAATTATTGTTACATATTCCAACAAGATTTATGGTGATGATTATACAATCTATGTGATCTTGGCTCGAGATGCAGTTATTCGACTAACATTATATGCTTTCGACTAAAATAGTTGATGATAATGATGCAAACTTCGACCTATCGTTCATTGATTTTGAACCAGAGTTTAAAAGATTAAATGGTCCATAAATAGTATAAGATGAATTCAAGGAGGAGAGGTTGATACTTGTGAAAATCCATCAACTTCTGTTGCAGGTGGGTTAATGTTTCCAATTCAATTTTCACCTAAGCCAATAGCTCAGGAAACTTAACTGCAAAGCCAAAAAGATAACATTCACAAAGATATGATTTAGAAAAAATGAAAAGTTTAAGTTCTAAAATGTAC